AAGCAGGTATCTTTAACACGCCAGATCTATTTAGGAAAAATTTAAAGAAAAATCTTCATTTCTTATATTTTTTAAGACTTCGAAAAAAATCATTTTTTAAAATACTTTTTAAGAATTCATCTTACACGTATGGCAGAAATTCTTCTTATAAATTCTTCTTAAATTATCACATACTTCAATTATCTCAATCCTCTTCCTTGTAATTATTACGAAATTCAATCAACAGCTAATTATTGCTTCACATAATAATCCGGCAAGTATCGTCGTAATAATAAAGAAATATTACGAAAAGAATAAAGCGCACAAGAGAGAGAGAGATGACAAGGACAACTCGTCTTTCTTTTTGAATGATTTGTCACTGATGTAATGCAATTGTTGTGAAGAGAGACTATGAAGATTACTGATAATTCAATACTTTCTCGCTTTGTTTGCCCTGATTTTCATGAAGTTTAATGTATTCGCAACATAGATATATTCAAATATTATAACTTGCTACATTGCAATCTTTTCTCACGATTATGTCGTAATCATAATTGTTTCGAGCATTAATGTGATCGATTTGTTGCAATACATTACTTCAATATTATGTAATGCAGATCATTACCCCAATTTTTTTATCAATAAAAATTATTTATTGTTAGGACAAAATGACTTAACCGTTTCTTCTCACTTAAGGGATACCGCTGGATCGTGAGACAATTGTCGATGTTATATATATAGTACAATAAGTGGATCCGAGCATGTTTTACGAGGGAACCAAGTGCGGTGCGAGAAGCGCGATTGAAGTCTTGCGTTCGTGAGAACAAATTTGATATAATTATCGCGGAAGCATTGTGCCGTCTTGGAACAACGTTATATGGAAATTGTACTAATCGTATATATAAATTTGCTGCATTTACAATATCATTTCAAAATAGATTAAACGATAAATTGGGAAACCATATCATATATATATTTTAAACTATTCATTTCGTTCATAAACGATACACTGAAAATAATTGTTCAATACTAGAAGTACCAATGTTTCTTACTCACTAAAAGAGCGAAGTGAATAAATTATTAAAATAAAAAGAAATAAAAAAAAAATAAAATCTAAATTTTTATCAGTAAAAAACATAATTATTAAAAAATCAAAAAAAATCTCAAAATCCTATCTCTTACACAAGAAACTTTTTACACTTAGATTAATATTATAGTATTATTCTGAAAAATAAAAATGATCGATAACGACTGCTCGGTACTTCTAGTGTTAAATAACGTCGCTATCAAGGATTTCTTCTTATATTTAAAAGAAATTTTTAAGAAGAAAGAGTCTCTTTCTCTTTTTAGTTCTATAGATATATTCTTTGAAATATTGCAAATTGTAAACATATTATATACGTGTTATTCATGGAAATAATTATAAAAAATATTATGATTAATTTTCATATATTCATACATTCATCTCAATGTGAGAACTTATTCGTCATAGCAGCGAGTGACGAATGCATTGGATACTGCTATTATAATCGTAATCAGTTTTTTCTACCATACGTTATTTCTATGTTTATTCTAATTGCCGTAGATTCTATAAAAATTTCTTAAAATATTCATAAAATAGATGAATTCTAATACAGCCAATCGTTAGACTTCATTAACGATTAGTTCTAGAGGAATGGATGATTTTGCAATGCATAAACGATTATCGCAATCGTATTAAATCGCTGATGGATTTCAGCAGAAATGCTAATACGATTATATAGTCGCGTATAAGAGCCTTTCTATGTTGAACTAGGATCATTGATGGATATCGCAAGCTTTACTCATCAACCGTCTTATGAAAATGAAGATACTTCTCTCTACAGTTTTTTTTAAAGTTTAAAGTTTATTTCTTCTAAAATTTTTCAAAATTATACTTATATAATTGCCTCTTTTGTAGATTTTAGGTAGATTTTCATTATTTAAAATCTCATAATGCCATAAAGGATTATTATGGATACAGGATTATTATTGAATTGGTAGATATGAATATAATTTAATTTATGAATTTTTAAATATATTAAGAATCTCTAGAGTTATAAGTGCAATGTTCAATGGAACTAAACTGGCCTGGAATATAGATAAAAGACGAGGTGGAAGAAACGAGAGAGAGAGAGAGAGAGAGCTGGGAAATACTCGCTTTAGGAGTCCATATCTAGCATCCTCAAGGTTTTGCAAACTGAAATCTCATCCGTTCGTCCATACGATAACTTAGCAAATAGCTATGTAGATACTATGCATCCTCGCCCCGGGACTCATCGCGGCAGATTCTAATTGCTGCGGATTTTGTGGACGTGTGCATGTGGACGGCACCATGTGAGGGAATTAAACAGAAATCGAGGAATTTCGCAGTATCACGATGTGTGTGCGAAGCGAGAAGTCGATATTGACGCCCGCTTTTGTCCCATTCGGCGTAAGCTGAGCGTCAACTGCCTTTACCACCCACGCGATGCAGTAACTCGCATTTTGCGGTGAAAGCACCATAGAGGAGAACGTGCGAAGACACGTAGTGTCACTACGTACGTCCAATGATTATGCGATGACGCAGACCGATTATGAATCCGAAACGAGGCGAGCAAAGAACGAATGGGATAGCTTGTCCTTTGACAACGACAAAGCGCAACGTCATTGTAGTGGTTTTCATACAAAATTTACTGTAAGTAAATCATAGAGATTCGTCAAAGAGGTAGAGATTCGCCAAAGAGGTAAAGATTCGTCAATGAAATAATATCAATCAAACTCGTCAAGCCAGAAAATATGTTTAAAACTACCGCAAGGCAATTCATTAGATAAAATATCAAATAAAAAGAAAAATTTTCATTCAAAAAATTTATAAAAAATATCAATAACTTTTTGCATTAACAATATTAATAATGTTAATATCAGTTTCTAAAACATAAAAAATTGTTTTATTTAGATTTTCTTTCTATATCATATGACGGAAACATCATGCACAGAGCACTTTAAACGGAGTGCTCTTGTCGTTAAATTCGCTTATCCTTTATCAAAGTACGATAAAATCAATACGATCTACTCTACTACCCATCTAATCATTCCAGATAACCTCGACATCTCTATTGGAAAACAAAGCAAGGGGCTTTTTGTTTCAAAAGCATTCTATGTGTATGCAACGAAGGGTATTATTCTCTACAGCTTCCCGATATCATGCATTATTTATTAGGAATCACTTCTCTTTGATCTCACAATTAGGTAAAGGTTTAAAGCTAGAAACAATCGTAGCTTTACAAACGCAATTGCTCTACAATTACTTATGGAAAACGATAAAATTATTTAAGAATTACAAATCTATATATTTTATATTATAATAACAAATTATGTACATACATGTATATATATATATATATATATATATATATATCGGACCGGTCGTTAGAACTTTTAAAGCAAGCGGGGGAAAGAGAAGAGCACGCGCATTGTTTTACGACTATTTTCCAAAACAAACAACTTTTTCCTTTTGTAAAATTGCGTCTGACAAGTAGTTTTCGCAGGAGAGCAGGTTGAAGTTATACGAGTAAACGCAAAAATTATTTATTGAATGTAATTTTACTACAGAAAAAGTTGTTCGTTTTAGCACAAAAAGCAACTTTTTCCTTTAACAAAATTGTATCCAATAAGTAGTTTTTGCAGGAGAGCAGGTTGAAGTTAGCAAATAAGCGCAAAAATAAAATTATTTATCGGACGCAATTTTGCTAAAGGAAAAAGTTTATTTTAGCATAAAATATCATGTTCTGTACTCCGAATACGCGAATTTTAGGACACCCTGTATATAAATAATAAATTATTAAAATTTATAAAACTTTTTATACATACATCTTATATTTATGAAATATTTAATAATAAATATCTAAATTTAGAATATTTAAAAAACATATTTGCATATATTTTCATATGTCTATAATTTCTAAAATAAAATAGATTTTATCCATGACCTTGCATTAATTAATTAATTAGATATAAATAATAATTTTTTGTAATTTTGTCACAAATTTATGTAGAAATATTTTTTAGAAATAAAAAGAAGAAATGTTTCTTTTTAATAATTTCTCTTGTTTATTCTGTTCATTTATATTTGCTAAGAAAAGGTGATATAAATTCTGCTTGTACAAGGGATAATTGTGGCAACAGCGTACATCTATTTTATCTAAATACAAGTAGATCGAGATGCAGAGACATCCTCGCGATCTTTCTTCTCTAAGACGATCTCCGCCGTCGATTAGAGCAACGCGAAATACACAGCACTTCGGTAGACGTTACTCTACTTGCAGTATTTCACTTTCACTAACCCCGGCCTCCCACAAGCTGCTCATCTCCGCGAGATCCCCCATCAGGACCCCCCTCTGGAGAAGGCCTCCTTCGGTCCCGCAGCGGGTCACTTACGTCGTGAGGTCGTTCCACGGATAGCGCACCGCTTATGGATAGTAATGGGCCCGCGCTAGATCCGCTATTTTGGGCCCAACCTGTCGATATTTACTTTAGATAATTATCCGGAATCGAAAAGGTCCAGTTGCCTCTCCTCTTCATCTGACTCTTACTTTTAAAGATGGTTCCTGCTTTATTTGTGGATCTCCCATATATAGGAGATTATATAAAATACCTATTATGTTCAATATTTAATATTATAAATTGAAATATATATACAAAAAATATTTATAATTGTTTATTAATATGAAATATTATATATCTCTTAAATTTGTATTATTCTCTTGAAATAATTATTATTAACGTAATTATCTAAATAAACTATATTATAGCAACATACGTTATATGTATTTCTTAAGATTTAACAAATAAGAAATCAGAGTGGAAGCAATATCCAATCATTTCTCTTACGATTTTTAGAAGCACAGACACCCCACACGAAAGGATCCATCTCATCGCTATTCGCGGTTTCGCGAGCTTCCCCACCTTGCATCCCGAAGAACAGAGGAAAAAAGGGGGCTCGATCTGGAGGCGGTCGAAGGATGAGCGCCGGGGCTCATCCCTGGTGGGGGCGTATCAGCACTTGGGGTGCTATCAAGGATATATATGCCGATGAAGTTACTTCCACCATCAGTCACTGTCTTGACTTACCTCAGCACTGCGGTGTGTTTTGTACATACGGATCGGTTGGGTGAGTCTTCGACATCACTTCATCCCCCTAATGATACCCACAATCGCGCTTTTGCCCGCTGCTCAACTCTGCGAGTACTCGCGTCTATCGCATGAATTGGACCCTTTTTTCGTTCTAACCAGTGTAAATCGCCCCGAGAATCGAGTTCGTTATTACATTTTTCCTCTGTAATACATCTGTGAGCGCGTATCCCAATGTGGCACCGATAACACGCACGAATGATTCGACGAAGGTCCCAAACTTCCGTGCGCAATGCTCGGGCTTAGAATGAGGAACGAACGCAGTGCATTAAAGCAACACGGTCAGTGATTTCCATTCGAGCGTATCTTGGAGTTCCATTTTCTTGTTAATATGTTTAATACCTTAACCCTTCGTGTACACAAGGGAGTGATGTAAGTTATAGCAGAGTAGGCGTATATGCTTATCAATGTTTTGTGTAAATTTATAACGCGAGGAACATATAAAACATTAAAATTTTTTCTTTTTAATATTATAACAATAAACTAAATTTCTATACGTATTTAAGATTTTAATAAAATTTCTATATTATATTATACATAGAAAGATATATTAATTAATTTCAGTTCTTTGGGACTGTATCATTCGCTTAGTTGTTTTAATTTAATGTTAGAATGAATCAATGTGATATATAAGTAATATATTAGGTGTTGGAATTAATTCGTAGCGTTTTTTAATGAAAGAATGTTATTTATTTCACATGAGCATTAAAAAATACATTAATGAAAGTACTTCCCATCACTTGTAAAACGCTACGAATTAATTCCAACACCTAATAAATGTACTGAAATGTAATGATGAATTTCATTTAAAAAAAATTTTAAAAGCACTTTTAGCAGAAATATCATCCATATTTTAACGAGAGAAATAGCTTACATTTTTAGCAACAAACAACGAAATATATATCAAATAAAATTTTATTATTTAAAAAATACTTGATGATTCGAAACCTTTTGGCAGAAAAGTTATACATATTTTAGCAAACAAATTGCATTTTTAGCAAACAGCATAGCATATCTCATCAAATAAAATTTATATAAACAAACGGAATATAATTTTTGAAGTTATTGCAAATCACTGCAAGTTTCAAAGTTTTAATATCCATCATTTTAAATATCTTTCTATAAACTAATTACATATATATATATATATATAAATGTACGAAACAGATCAATCGATTGCACTATCTTTTCAGACTCGCCCACTCCTTGAGGGTGCTTGCGCCAGCAAATATGCGGTTACGCTTGCTCTGGATCGGTAAGATAAAAGTGATATTGGTTCAAGATATTGGGTTCATCGCATGGCTTCACTTCATATAATCATCTAATGTAGTAACCGGGTTGTTACGTTAGCACATCATCAAGCACATGGGAAGAGCTAACAAAAAGCGACGCAAGAAACGTCGCGGCAATATCCGTCGGTTTTCCTCTGGAGAAAACAGAAAGATTAGCAGAGATTGCAGTGTCGTGGACAGAGAAAAGAAAGTTCGCAATTTGTGACGTGTCCCAACGTCAAGTATAACCTTCGTCTCAATAATCGAAGGAGATGAAAAGTTTCCAAGCAATTGTTAAGCAATTCTATACTAACTTACACCTTCCGTCCATCGAATTATCGTACCGTATAAGTTCTCATACGCGTTATTATGCACCACGCAATCAGTATGGCATTCTTTGACAATGTCTCTGTGACGATTGCAAATCACATCAGAAAGATATAAAAAGACAGAAAAACTTCATAAGCGCGCGATCATCAGTCGCAAACATGATAAAATAAAAATTTTCTAATAAATATGTTCATTTTTAAGTATTCTTATATTTAAAAATAATATTTGCCTTTTTTTAAATGTTCTTATTTTATTTTTAATTTTTATTGAACTTTCTGTCTCCAAGTGTAATTTCGAACTATAAAATCATATTATGAGCACAAGTCGTAATTATCATAATTATAATTTGTAGCAAATGAAGACAAATACGTTAAAATGTGTATTAACTTTTAAGTACGAGTTATAAACTGTTATAAAGAAATTTTATTTCTTGAAAATTTTTTTGATCAAGTAATGTCTAATAGAATTAAATGTCGTAATACATACATTTTTTATGATTCAATTACGATATTACAGTCCAAACGAGTTTTAAATTTCGATGGAACCTTCACGCAAGGTCTACGATATTTTTTCGTAACATCCTCTAATTAAAATGAATTAGAGATAAGCCAGCGCGCCGTGGGCTGGTATTGTTCCAACGCACTTTTACGTATTACGGGGTCACCATTTACGCTTACAATCATCCGCTTAAAATAAAGGTCAAGTGTATGCAGCGTACCGTGTTAGCGCAACTTCTCTCGCTTTGCTTCTTACGAATCTTAAGAACAGGCACCATTCAAGATCGTAAATCTATGAAAAAAGCGAGCGTTTGGAAAGTCAAAGAAAAGAATAATTCGGAAACAAGCTAAACTTTTCTAATTTCAAAGTCAAACTATGAAGTATGAATTATCACAGTTTCTTTATATTTGAATTATAGTAACTATATAGTAAAGAGAGACTAATTGAAGGTAATTAAAAGAGATTTTTTTAACGTGCTGCTATAATATAATTACGTTACACTGACATAAACGTAACTTTTTGGGGCAAAGATACTAGGAGATATACTAAAGATAAGAAAAATTCGTAGTCCGAGGAAATATAGTCTAAGATGGGTTAAGCCGTTTCCGTTACGACTTCCCTTCGGGCAAGTTACGTCAATACTCTGACGATCGTGCAACACTAGTGTACCACGTAACGGTTAAAGATCCTCTCAAACGATGCATCGAGTATCGTGCTCGGATTATCTTCGTAGATCACGCGAGGCTCGGCCATCTTGATCTCCGCCCCATTGTTTCGAGGTAACCAAAACCGAAGCTATCAACCGACAACAGGAAGGTGTACGAATAATGGTATGCGATACTATTGCTTGAAATAGCCTTTTAGCCAAATGCGTGGTATGGAAATAAATAACGTATGGAGGATGAAAGAAAAAGATCTCCTGCAAAATTATTAATTTTATTAAAATATGGAAAGAAATTCCCACACGTCGCTCAGGATGATCGTAACTATTCAAACAGTTTTTTTGTGCTTTTAGTCCCGTTCAGTAATATAGCCCATTAAAACTGAAAATCATTAGAAAAAAAAGCGTTGCTATTAAATATATGCCATTTATATTTCTATACATAATTAATTTTAAAATAAAATTTTATTAGCAATTTAATATAAGATTTATGAATTATTGTCTTGGGTAAGCCTGACATTGGCTAATTTTAAACTAGCTTTTATTACAATTACTTCTATGAATGCAAAAAATTGATTCAATTTTATAAGTATATAAATCAAAAATACAAAGCTAATTCAAAATTGAATTTCGGTTAATTATTGATTTGGAAACAAAATTCATATTTAATCTGACAAGAAGTAATTTTTTAAAATATCCATGACACTGTGACAATGATCTTATTCAAGCCATAGAGATCAATCGTATTTGCTAAGTTACACCTATTAGTCTACGTCGAAGTAAAGTCACCATTAGAGCTTAATTTATCAACGTCAACGCCTGAGGCATCATTGACGTTTGAATCGTTTGATAATTACAGTTATACGTTAAAAACGATATTTATCGCAAGAGAAAAATTTAATCAAAATTTTCATAATTTATTTTGTTACTTGCGTATAATAATCTCTGAATCCGTTTTCAATCAGGGGCCATGAGGACCACGGCTTTTGTCTTAAATATTTTCTTTCTTAAAAATATTTATAGCAAAATATTATATATACTTTTAATATTTCAGAAATACTTAATCACGATTTTGATATTCCACAAATATTTTTTTTAATTTAAGAAACTCCTAGATTTTATAGTTTAAAACTTTAAGACTACTACCATATTGTAAACATCGCGTTATGCAGCGTTATGCAAAAAGTCTATGCTGCAGCTTTTATTTTTTGTTTGTTGTTACAAACGAAAAAAATTTTCGCTTGCGATGCGTACGTTAAAAAATGAGAACGGAAAAATATGGAAATTGTGGAATTTTTCTTTTTTTTTTGTTTTTTTGGTTATTGGCAAAACATGGTATATATATTGGAGAAACTCGGCAACCCAATAGCATACAAATCTGCCAATGGCTTCCATCTTGAAGGGGGAGAAGTTTTTGGATTCGCTTTTGTTTTCAATAACGATATACTTGCTATTATATAGAGAAATTAAACATATTTTTCAATAAAGTATACTTTATAATTTGCAAATAAGATGATGTGGAAACTTAAAAAAAGCAGTGCTGAAAGATTTTCTTTCCGATCGCACGCGTTTCTTATATGTAATCGAAATAGACAGGTATTATTTGAGAACGTCACTTCATAAAGTTTACAAGAGATTACCATTTGGATCTTCTTGCATGCCCAAGAACCAGAGTTCTGTATCTGCTTAACAAGTAGCTTGCGTGATCCGCGAACCGGTGTCATTGCGAAAACGTGCAACGTCTTCACAATTCTCGTGTAACACACCACACGCACTCGTGCAGTTTGTTCGTACTGTTCGCTTCTCCTTCTTTCTCTTCTCCACGCGCGATCTTTTCTTCTGCGTTTATCCCTCTTCATTTTTTTGATGCTATTTACGTACGGGCAAGCGTGCGAAGAACCCGTAACTTCTCCGTGCCTACGCTCTGAGCGCGCTCGACAATGCTCCTTAATTAATTAGACGGGAAGTTATGTCAGAGATTTTTCAAGACACATTTCTCTTCTGTGAGATTCGCACGCAACCTCTCGCCATCGCGACGAATTGCGGCTGTTACTGGAGGCGGCGTCGACGGCACACAGCTGTTAGCATTCGAGATAATTGATGTCATAATCAAAATTCTTCCTTTGATGAATTTGTAACGCGCTTGTTGTAATTATGCCCGATAAAAAAAATTACAATTTGTCAAGGTACTCGAAAAAAATAACATCTTGTTTGATTTGTTTCAGTCTTGCTGGCTGTCACTCGTACAGCTTTGGTAAGTAATTCTTAACTATAGATTACGTTAAAATAAAGTATTCAGATAATATATCTCAATATAATTCGCAATTTTTTACGATTAATTTACTTTATTTATAAATACTGTCTTTTTAATCTCCTTTCTTTAATTTCCATCATAAAAGCGGTATGTTAAAGTCGATATAAATCAATGCGATGTAATCATTTTAATTTTTCGCGATCAACACATCTCTTTACGTTTTCTTTCCCACCTTATGAAACAGTATTTTTAGTTGCGCAACTTTGTAAGCACTCTCATATTAATCAGTCGTGACTGTTGTAACTTCACAACTATCACAATGATCGAGGAACGAGAAGACGCTCTCCTTCAGACTTTTCTATAAGCTCGATTCTAATGATACCGGAATCTATAAATTTGATATAATTAACCGTTCAAGGGTATCGTAATTTCAACTAATATTGAAATGATATTAAATATAATAAACGTATTTAAATCGGATTATATATGAGTAAATATGTATTATTTGTATTATTTATATTATAATTAAAACATTATTTACTTTTGACAATATATTAAATAACTCGCGATAATAAATTTAATTTCTTAAAATTAATTTATAAAAAAATTATTAGAAGTTAATTTTCTAAGAAAAATTTATTTATTTATTTTATATTTTTTCCTTGTTTCTTCACAAAAAAATTAGGTTATTTATCGATTCTTAATTTATAAGTTAGTCGATATTCTCTATACGTCATAATTAATGTTACAGGCTGATGACGAGGGATATAATTACCCTAGACCGACAAATCAACTTATACCAGGTACTTCAGGAGGAGGAACTGGCAAACCAGGAGGATTTCCAACTGCTCCCGGAGGATATCCTTCTGGTGGTCCAGGTACACCTGGAGTTCCTGGGGAACAAGGAGTTCCTGGTGGACAACCTGGAAGACCAGGTGGTTATCCATCGGGACCACCGGGATTTTCAGAACGCCCAGGCGGTACTCAACCAGGGAGACAACCTAGTTTTCCATCAGGTCCAGGACCTTCGGAGGGATATCCTAGTGGACGACCATCGATTCCATTTCCGAGCGGTGAACCAACAGGAAGACCAGGAACGGGTCCCGGTATACCGAGTGGACCAAGTGGACCAGAGGGGTTTCCAACAGGACCAAGTGGTGGATATCCTAGTGGCAGACCTGGTGGGCAAGGACCAGGTGGATTTCCAAGTGGGCAAAGACCTTCCGGATATCCGAGTGGTGGACCTGGCCAGGGAAAACCAGGTCCTGGATACCCCACTGGTCGGCCGGGTGGACAAGGACCAAGTGGAGGATACCCTAGCGGTCAGGCTCCTGGAGGTTATCCCGGTCAAGCACAAAAGCCTAGTGGCCCGGAAAGTGGATATCCTAGTGGAGGGCCAGGAGCTGGCTATCCTGGAGGTACTCAAAGACCACCTAGCGGTCCAGGCGTTCAGGGAGGGTATCCAGGAGGAAAAAATGGTCTTCAAAGTCCTGGTCCACAAGGTGGACCCGGCGGCTATCCTAGTGGTAGACCAGGAGCGCAAAGGCCAGGAGGTTATCCAGGTGGCCCAGGTCCGCAAGGACCAGGAGGATTCCCAGGTGGACCAGGCCCGCAAGGACCAGGCCTACAAGGACCAGGATTCCCAGGTGGACCAGGCCCGCAAGCACCAGGCCCGCAAGGACCAGGAGGATTCCCAGGTAGACCAGGTGGACCAGGTCCGCAAGCACCAGGCCCGCAAGGACCAGGATTCCCAGGTGGACCAGGCCCGCAAGCACCAGGATTCCCGGAAACTGGTCATCCAGTAGGTCCCGGCGGACCTGGCGAATATACACATGAAGATGAGGGAACATACGACGAAGGTGATTATTCAGCTATTCCGGGCGAACCTGGTCGCGATTATCCTATATACAGTGAAATTCCGGAGACCAGTTTCCGTTGCGATGCCCAACAATTCCCTGGTTACTATGCCGACGTGGAAGCTCAGTGCCAAGTTTTTCACATATGTGCCAACAATAAGACCTACGATTTCCTTTGTCCAAACGGAACAATTTTTCATCAACAATTTTTCGTTTGTGTATGGTGGAATCAATTCGACTGTAACTCCGCGCCAAGCCTTTACTATTTAAATGAAAATATTTATGACTACACCATAATGGGAACACAAGGTCAAGGACCTGCAGGACCTTCTAGACCTAGTACTTATCCAGGAGGTCCAGGTGTTCCTAGTGGCCCTGGTGGTCCAAGCTATCCAGGAGGTCCAGGAACTCCTAGTGGTCCGAGTTATCCAGGAGGTCCAGGCGCTCCTAGTGGTCCCAGTTATCCAGGAGGTCCAGGCGCTCCTAGTGGTCCCAGTTATCCAGGAGGTCCAGGCGCTCCTAGTGGCCCCAGTTATCCAGGAGGTCCAGGCGCTCCTAGTGGTCCCAGTTATCCAGGAGGTCCAAGCGCTCCTGGTGGTCCTAGTTATCCAGGAGGTCCAGGCGCTCCTAGTGGCCCCAGTTATCCAGGAGGTCCAGGCGCTCCTAGTGGCCCCAGTTATCCAGGAGGTCCAGGCGCTCCTAGTGGCCCCAGTTATCCAGGAGGTCCAGGCGCTCCTAGTGGTCCCAGTTATCCAGGAGGTCCAAGCGCTCCTGGTGGTCCAAGTTTTCCAGGCGGTCCAGGCGCTCCTAGTGGCCCAAGTTATCCAGGAGGTCCACAACGTCCTGGCGGTCCAGGTTATCCAGCAGAACGACCTCAAGGTCCATCGGGACCTCAAGGTCCATCGGGACCTCAAGGTCCATCAAGGCCTGGTGGTCCAGGTTATCCAGGAGGACCGGGAGCTCCATCCGGTCCGGGACCGCAAGGTCCATCAGGACGACCAGGTCCTGGATATTTAGGTCCGCCATCAGGACCATCGGGTCCTCAAGGACCTCAAGGGCCAGGTGGACCAGGATATCCTGGAAGACCTCAAGGACCTTCCGGACCTACTGGACCATCGACGAGGCCTCAAGGACCTAGTGGTCCGGGATATCCAGCACCAGGTGGACCATCTCCAGGATATCCAGCACCAGGTGGACCATCTCCAGGATATCCAGGACAACCTCAAGGACCCACTGGTACACAAGGTCCAAGCTTCCCAGGTGCACCAGGTCGTTCGCAAGGACCTAGTGGTCCAAATGGATATCCCAGTGGTAGACCAAGTGGTCCAGCATTCCCAAGTGGGCCTCCCGGGTCAGGAGGTATCCCTGGAAAACCTGAGACGGGTTCGCCGTTCCCACCGCAAGGACCAGCGAAGCCTGATCGTGAGTACTTGCCACCGCGGATTGGATAAACATGAAGCTAAACTTACGGCACCTAATGACAACTTTCATCGTTAATGCCGGATGACGTGTAAATACGAGCCTCTATACTTGCGTATCTGTAATAACTAAGTGATCGATTATTCGTATTGCATTTATACTTTTACATATAAGGAATTTGATTATCCTGCTTAACTGTTTACTCATCCTTTCTGGGATTTCCACGTAGATAATTGATGCTATTTATATTATTGTATGTATTCTGATTAGCTTTAGTAGTAAAATATATTTATACAATAAACATATATATTTTTTCATATTAACAATTATATTAAAGTATATAAAATTAATTTAAACCATATTTCAATTTTATATTCATATGTTATAATATAAAACACATATGCATTTTTTTATATTTTATTAGTAAAATATAAAAAAATATTATTTTACCAAATTCTAAAAATTCTGGTATTAAAAGTTTTTGTCTTTTAGTCTTTTTGCTACATAGTTATTAATGCAGCGTATAAAAAGTAGTATAAAAAATTGATGAAATGAAAAATGTTTGGTTGCAATATAATTCAGTTTTTCAGATCTATTTGCCATCATTATTACATTAACGTACTTAATAAATCATAAGTTAATTTGAGCAATAAATATTTTTGATGTGAAATCGCATCAAAGAGGAGTATTTAACGGAAATCTTGTAATGAAATCATGAGTGAATAATATTAAAACCTGTATGCTGGATGTATTCATCATTGTCCAATTACATCTGACTAATTAATTAAATTAGAAATATGAAATATCTTTCATTATTTTTGTTATTAAATAAACATTAAATTCTAATCCAATTTCATATTTCTAATTCCTATACAGCAAAAATAATTATTAATGCTACTATTAGTAATATTGTTATTATTGATATTAATTGGCAATACAATTACTAAAATTATTATTATTATTACAATCTGATCTTATCGATTAGTTTGTATCAAAATCAATCGAAGACGTTGATGGAATACATGTAGCTTGTAAGTAAGTATTAAAACGCGACATATTTATTTATTCAGATTTAATGAAAATATGAACCATACCACTTATGATCTATCAAAAAAGATGAATCGGACGTCATGCGGATGTCATCGGTACTTAGATGTTTGTACGATTAGAAATAAGAATTTATTAATTAAATATAATCAAAACTACGTGAAAATTAACGTAACGAGGTACAAGATTTTATATTTTAAGACAACCTTGCCTTATGAAGTGTCATATAATAACACTTTTAACACAGAGTTAATTATTATATTTATCAAACACAATATGATTGTAAAGATGCAATTTTTAACGACATTTATGCGACATATTTTTTTAGTATAATTGAAACTACAAGTTTATGTTTATAGAATTGTAATAACAAATATTTTGTAAGTAAATTATAATACGTAAAACTGCGACAAATATACTTCTTACAAAAATGTCTTCAAGAATTTTATGATTTTAAGAATTATATATCTTTAAAGTGGAAGAAGCGTAATTATCATTCCGATAAAATAGTACCTAATTAATTATCACGCGGTCCAAAAATAACGAAGCAGTGAGAGTCCGATTTCTTCCCGAAAAGTGTATCATTGTTATATATAATTATGCAACGCATGACATAATTAAATATATATATATATTTTTTTATAACAATGGTTAGAGACTCCTACGTGGGATGCCATTATGTATATTTTATGCGCGAAATAAAGGAAACACCTTTGCAAGAATTATGTTGTCTCTATTCACTATAGGTCCCGCGGGTTACTGAAATCCACGCGAGACGGTAACACACACGTGCGTTACTACATATTGCCTTTCCCTTTCCTCTCATTACTATAATTAGTCATTTCAAATTGTTCGTGCCGGGGGTTACATAAATTCGTACGTACGCGGGCTACGTGCGATCATCGTTTCGCGATTTATAGTTGCGTGTATTTCGCAACGCGCCGTCTCTTCTGCGTTGTCTTCTGCGAGACAGTGAGATGAGTCAAGTTAAGTCGAGTCAAGTCGAGGCAAATCATTCGACGGGCAAATGATTTTGCGGATTCCCATGGCAGTGACGTTACATTAGATAAACGAGTTGTGAGAGGCCTGCTGCGGTTCGTTCACGCGTCTTAAATTGTCTGACATAGCTAACTGGGTCGTACGAAATACCTCATCCTGTTTATTCACATCACTCTCGTCAGATTGTTCTAACGACGCGACGTCATTCCATTAAAAGAGAGAAAAACGAGGAAAAACGATACTTAATCATAGCGCGTGGGGTATCAGAATATACCCCGATAGAGATAGACGCGCGTAAATCGCGAGATATGCGTTAGAATCGGTATATACCTGCAGTAACAGAGTAACACAGGCAATTCCAGCCGGTTAGTAGTATCGCGCGAATAATCAGACGCCCGCTGTTGTAGTTTGTAATGAAAGGAGTTATACGCAAAGCCAATTAAACTTTGGTCTGGAAAACGGCTAGCTTCGGGCAAGATAACAAAGGTCAATGGCTAATTAACAACGCATGCAAATTAGGAACGTAATTTGTGTGCGTTGCTAAATATCGTAAACGCATTGCATATTGTATATAGTATTGTTTTGTGCAAATGACTTGATAACGAAAACTAGATACGAAAAGTCTCTCGCGTCACAGCTGCATTACAAATGCGTACAGATTTTTATCTCAATTAAAACAACAAATTACACGAGCTGTTTTATCGCCACTCTAAAAAAATGTTTTAAAAGAATTTGGAACGAAAATTTTACGGAAGATTATCCGAGATTCAATTTTAATTATGATTAAAAATGTAATTTTTAATATTTATTATATATTTTATTACTGGCAAGAATTTTACAAATTATTAATAGTATAATAAATATCTTATTGCACGTCTACTCTTTTTTCGTAAAATATTCGCTATTTTTCCAGGTATTAGGTTAAAGTATCAGGAGGTTTGAATAACGGAACGTGACGGTGTAAGCCGAAGATGAATCTCTTTCTTTCTGGGGTATTAAGAAATAATCAAAGGGCTGCACAAAATAAAAGCGCGATGCAAATTGAAAATGTATAACGTAATATATTATGAGTCATTTTCATGAATACATAATGGATGAGTCTACGCGAATTCCGTTTCGTCAGCGCGGGGCACGAAGGTCCTGTGGAATACATGTATTCGCGAAAACGGTCTCGCTTGCACTTACATATTTGGTGCAACAGCAAGGCGATGATCGTGTGAAAAATGTAGAAATTAATGGGAAGGCGCCGCGCGCAGCTTAGAAATTACCGAGCCGTTACGCAAGGCAACCTTGAATGGCACGCGGACCATCTTGCTCGAAAAGTAGACCATCGGAGTGATGATAGTGACGGATTACCTGTTAACAGATCTGACTTGCAACCTGACCTTTTGCAGCTGGTACCGATTCCACCATAGACACGCAACGTCGACTATTTGTTGCGGGAAAGTAGAAATAGACATACACACTTCTGTCTCTACCTTTATTTCTCTCCCGGCCAGCATTACCGTATGTGTAGTTAATTGGCGTGCGTAATTGAGCTTTACCTATGCATAATGGGGATAACTAACGAATCAGTCAAGCGAAGAAAATCCTATTCAAAGATGATTATATCATGTAGGGTACAGTGAAATTTTACACGCAATTTACGTGATGTTTTTACAACGTTAGTATAATCTGTTACTTTGTAAAAACGTTCTGTAATATAAAATAAGTTAATTAACTGAAACTGAACAAGGTAAATGAAACATTTTCACAGAGAAAAGCAGAATCTCGTAGAAAATAATGATTTGAAATGGAATTCTCTTTGCTTAGAGATAAACGTATATAAATTATAAAACGGAAGTCAATTTCTTATTTTTTTATTAAAAAGATTTATAACGCAAGATTGCCGCAAATGTCTTTAAATTCAAGATGAAAAATGTATGCTCCGTGTAAAATGCTCATTAATGACAATTTCAACTCTTGACAATCGATACCTGTTGCATATCTGATGGCCATGTACACACTCGAAACGTAATGTTTTTTTTTTTTTTTTTTTGCAATTTGTTAGCTCGAGACGCGCGCATATATCTTAGCAGGGGTATCATTCGATGGGCACGACGAAGGTGCAACGATGACGAAATTTGTCAGCTCTTCAACTACCGACTACATTATTGCATCTCCCCATGATACGATACGGACGATGAAACTCGCTGTCACGGAAAATAGGACGAAAAACGGCGGGCAGCAGATGGTGTAGCCAATATCGCAAGGCGATTTGTGCAATTTCTGTAGATTGTAAATTGCAAATGACCGCGCGTGTTGCGGGATCCTCGGTTAAGGCAACATGTTTGCCTTTGTAAATTTTACGAATCGCAGACCGAACAACGTTCGCCTTATGGCGTCGCTACAAGAATCGATACTCCCTCCCTTCGAGCTTTACGATTTATGCAATAAATAAAAATGAGCGCTGCAAAATATACCACCGTTGCAAAATATCATACAAGCTGTCTAGTCATCGTGCATAATGATAGCTTTACAGATTGTTTACGAAATTTTGAGGATTATAAAAACATAGTTATTATTATACTTAATTTTTATAGAAAAAGCAACCGTTTGCTATTAACAGAATTTCATTTCTACACTGTTAAATCTACAGTCAAATTTCATCTAATTTAAGTCGCCACTGCTCCTACTCAATATATTGAGTATTTAACTAAAACAATGTATAAATTTGACACTATATAATGTCAAATTTATCTATTGTTTTAGTATAATATAATAATATAATATATTGAGTTAAATTAGATTAAATTTGGCAGTATAGATTTAACAGGGTGTGCAAATACAATAGTTGCAGCATTAATCCAAGGATAAGTACTGAAATTGACATGTACGATCACAATAGAGCAATCTTGCAGGTATCGTTAGCCAGGATGCATTTACAATGACGGGTGGTAACATTATAATGAAGCATAATCGGAAAGGCAAACGGGTTTCAATCGGTGCGTACAACTCGAAACGTCGCGCAATGCAAGGCACGACGCGCAACCGGTTCGCCGGGTCAGTAACTGTCATTGTCAGGGTCTATCCCGGCATGCTGTTCGCAATAGACGCATTGTCGAGGCACGTAATTTGACTTCCGCGAATAATACGATGCACTATGCACCGTGTGACACGACGTTTATCACGATTGAA